GTTAAACATGGGTATCAATTATACAATAAATACTACAGGCCTGGTGCAAAAAATTCATGCATGGGGGCTGGGGGAGGGTCCTTCATCCTGGCCTGCACCCTCTTGCAATCTGGAACCCTCAGGGATCGGGCCTAAACCAGCAGTCGGACATCCCTCTCACAATTCGGTACCACTGGCTCCTAACCGCTTGCCTGCCTGCCTGCCTGCCTGCCTGATTGCCCCTAAATACTTGCCTGCCTGCCTGATCACCCCTAACCACTCGCCTGCCTGCCTGATTGCCCCTAACTACCTCTGCCTTGGCCCCCGCCACCGCGGCTTAGCCTGGAAGGACGTCCAGAAGGTTGTTTGGCTGTCCGGTCTAATTAGCATATTATACTTTTATTATTATAGATGGAACTCCAAGGAATTGATCTGTAAAGGTTTTTGATTAGAACTTTTATAAAAAAGAATTAAAGGGGCATTTGGCCCATTTTTAGTGAAGGGCGGATAGTCTTTTACTTTAAGAATGCTTTGAACTATGAACTTTTACATATATGTATTAACAGATACATGTTTTATATCGTCTTGATTTTTAGCTTTCAAAAACTAAGGGCTGGTACCTTTCAGTTTGGAAATGGAATCTGAGATAATTATGGTAATTGTGTGGGTGGCTGAGTGATTTGAATCATGGAACACCCACTTAAAATCCTGGTGCTATCTTAGAATAGAAGTGTAACCTATTTTTGTGTGTGTTTGTTAGCCGTTTTAAACTAATCTGGGGAGAAAGGCTTTTGGTAGTGGGCTCAATAGAAATTTAGGTTAGTGAGTGTATCTCCTCACTGCGGGCGGGGTGAATGTGTTGTTATCCTGACTGACCTACTTTCTTCACACACATGTTCTAATTTCATACCTTGACAGAATCAGAGGCAAGGAGGCTGTTGGACATCACTCCAAGTTAGGCATCCCTGTGGAATGTTACAACAGACATGGGGTTGGTTCTTAGGCCAACTGTGAAATATGTTTGCTTTTTTCCTCCTGATTATACAAGGAGTTTGGAGGATCTAGGTGGGCTGGTTATTGCATATTTTTTATGGGCTGAGTGTCATAGAATTTACATGATGTTGACTGACTGTTTCTAGAGCCAGACCTCTGGTGAGCCTGCCTTGCAATCCAGAGATCTTGGCCTATGGATGCTGGAAGTTAACTTTTTTCTTATGTGGACATGCTATAAAAGGTATACAGAGATGCTGATTTTGATCCTGGCAAGTTTCCTACTATAGATAATAAGTTACGTTCAGAAGTTGCAATAATTCCATAGGACACTATGTTGTTGCTAATGAAAGAATCCAACAAAATTGTGTTGGACTTTGAAAAATGAATAAATGCAGTTTCTCCATCACATGGAAAATGACTTTGTGATCATATTCTAGATACAAAGATTAGAGCCACACGTTCTGCTGTAGTTTGCATGGTGAATAGGAAGACCAGTGTTCTAATAACTGCCCATAGAACTCCTCTCCACTCCAAGTCTGAGCCCCAAAAGGCACCAAAGAAATGCTCTTTTTGGGAGGGAGGATACCTATTGGTTTTTATTTTTAAATGAAAATTGTATATGTTTAAATTGTACATGATTAATATACATTTATATAGTGAAATGATTACTACAGTCAAACCAATTAACATATCCACCTCCTGATATATTCACTTATCTAATATGCAGTGTGAGCACCTGAAATCTACTCTCTTAGAAATTTCCAGTACTCAATACAGTATTATTACCTCTAGTCATCATCTGGTATAGTAGATAGCTAGACTTATTCATCCTATATAACTACAACTTGTACCCTTTGACCAAGATCTCTTAGAAGATGGTGAATGATACAGGTCCAAAGTCTTAGGTCCATACAGTGTCAATGTTATGTTAAAGTTTGTACTTAATATAAAAATGTACATAATATATAGGAAAATTCCAAGTAAATAGAACATAATATTTTCTTAGGAATAGTTTAAAAATAGATTTTAAAGTTAAAGATTTTTAATATTGATGGTAAAGAATAGTACTACCTTTTTTCTACAAGTGGTTTTGAAGAACTCCTATACCAAATTATATATAATATACAAAAATAAAACAAGGCCCTTTACTTCATAAGGTGAATGTTATTTTTGTTTGTTTCTGACATCCTTACATATGTTTTTAACATTATGAATGTTTTGCTCTTGGTTACATTGAGAAGAGGGTAAGATCACCCAATGTTTTATGCTTCATTCTGGAATTGTATTTTTTCTTTTAAACTTCCTTTTGAAAATTATAAAGTAGGTTACTAAAATAAATATTTATTTCAAGTGCCTTTCACATTACTGGGTACAAATTATGTAATCAATGAGTGCTTAATATTATCATTATGTTTTGTTATTTTCTTGACACAGTAATTCTGAATTGCTTCTTCTTGCCTTTCATTCCTATGTCCTAGTTTTGTCATTTTGCATTATAACCACATCTCTGCTCTGCTTTGTGTCTCAGTCCTAATAGCACCTCCTCTCATATATTTTTGCCCATTCTGTTAAAGCAATGTTAATCTTCAAGTCTCTTGCCCAAGCAAGAGAACATTTGCTTAGGTACCATTTTCCCATCCTTAACCTCATAACAGTTTACCTAAACATAACAGTTTAGGTAACAGTTTAGGTAAACAGTTTAGGTAAATTTCTACAGGTCTATGATCTCTTACCTACAAGTTTTGAAATCCAAGAGGCTATGAAAATACAAAGGTTTTGTAATTCATATTGATGGCAAAACTTGACCTGAACTGATGTGAAGTTGATGATAATCTTTATTTATCCCATCTAGTGTGGACAAGCACATGTTTTGCTATAGAAATGTTAGTGTATCTGATTATAGAGTATGACCCCAGACCCCACTGGAGGCATTATATAATTCATGTTATATGCAGAGTATTATGTTTCTAAAATTTGAAAGCATTTGAATTCTGAAGTGCATCTGATAGTGAGGGTTATGGTTAAGAGATTGAGGACCTATCCTCTAGTAGTATGTTTTCATTTTTAAACTTTTATTACTAAGGAGCTGCAGGAATGGGAATATTTAAAGGCTTTTAGGCACATAATCTCTCATGGATTACTTTCTAAGACAAGAGAACTACAGAGAAAGAGAGAAATGGAGAACACTGAGCAGTGGCTAAATCAGCGATAGCCAGTGCCAGCCATTTCTCATAGTACATTCAAATGTTGTCCCTAGGGCAGGGTTCTCAACCTTGGCTGCACATTAGAATCATCTGGAAATCTTTTTAAAATCCTGATTTCTGGGCATCATCCTCCAGAAATTCTGTTTCTTTGTTACTAATGTTGTGGCCCCACCCCATAACAAAGAAACAGATTTCCAGGTGATTCTAATGTTCAGCCAAAGTTGAGAACCACTGTCCTAGGGGCTTCATGAGGCACAAATGAATGGAATTCAGGCAGCAAAAGTAGAAGTGAATTCTTCTATGATGTGGGAATACACACACACACACACACACACACACACACACACACTCATACTCATGCATGCTTGTATGTGTGTCCACTCATGTATATCCATAACTGTCTACCATGAAGGGAGTCTAACCAGCAGCCTGTAAGGAGTCAGCTCTGCGCATAGAGACGTAATGAGGATCTCATGGGTGTTCCATGTTTAACATTGCTCCAGAAGCTGGGTTATGTAAATGCATGTGGTGGAATAGTGCTGCTTTCACACAGATGTTTTGGGTTGTAGGTACTAGTAAATGTGGCACCTAAGAGCCAGTATTATCAGAACCGAACAGTCATGTACAGAAGATCCTCTATTGGGTCCTGATTTGCGCCTCTTTAGAGTTTTAATGAGAACCTAAAACCCATTTAATGAAATCTGAATGGAACCCTGAGTGTGTGCTTCATCAATGATGCCTACTAGGAATTCCTTCCGGTAATGATTTTTTAATAAATATTTTATGTCCTCTAGGCTCTGCGCTTCGCATGCACAGGTCAAAGTTTGACATCTTGTGATTTCATATCATTGCTGCTACTTTCTGGGGTATAGCTACTTTGTTCCTCTTTAAGATTATTTCAACTGGCTCTCACATCTTACAGTATAGTAGTGGAAGAGGAAGGATGGTGAAAGGTAAAGATATAAATTTGGGGTGGCTGGGTAGGGATGTATGGATTTAACTATAGACTTTTTAAAAATAAGCAGGCAAAGACTATGGTATTAAATATAATCTCTAACTTGCATGTTTCTGTTCTTACACAGGATACGTTTACATTTTTATTGTTTGGGAATTTGTTTTAGAGTAAAATTGATTGTATTTTTCTCTGGTGCTAGCATAGCCCGGCACATTTTCACTACTATTTTTATTTTAATCTAAAGACAGGCAGGTAGGGGTTAAAATACATTTGAACGTGCTTTTTAATGGGTACCTGTGTCAAACATATGGTCATTTTTGGCATTATAATTGTAATAGCCTCTAGGGATTTCATTTGTCTATAGAGAAGTTCCAGGAACCCCCAGCTATTTTGATTTTTGCAGCTTTTATGATAAGTCCTTATAATATAGACTACTGATTTCTTCTCTGTTCCCGGCTCATTGTTGAAAAGCCAGAGCTATTTTTAACATTTACACAATTTCAGTAGATGAGTCTTCATTCCACAAGGTTTGGTGCTAAATCTGTGGAGCCTTTCGTAATCATATCCTTTCTGTGGTTTGCTTGAATTTGATCACAGTGGCTGATTTCATGCATTGATAATGAAGGCTTAGGTTGCCTGTTTCTCGGCTTAAATCCACCTCAGACTTGGAGGTTGACAGTGCTGCTGGCTTCAGCATGCGCAGAGATAGAGAACTGAAATTGCTCTGCTTTCTTTACAAATGACTCTGAGAGTGCTTGTCCTTCCCTAAAATGATGCCAGCGTGTGAAGGATTTTCAATGAGCAGTGCAATAAGCCAGCATCTGGGAAGGTTCGGAGCGGCACTGATGTAGCGTGGTACTGTCACACAGATCTTCGGGGCTGGAGCCAAGCCTCGGGAGCACTGTGCCTCACGCTGGTCTCCTACTGGAAGTTTTGTTTATCCAACTTGGTTGCTCTCGAAGCTGGTGAAAGCCCTGCCAGGATGTGGAGTGGACTTCCTAGCAGAGGTGAGCATTTTTATTCTACAACTTGGGACGCAGGGATCTGGGGTGTCAGTAACAGATTCTTTCTTACGCTGTGTTGAATCCTGTGGAGTTATCAATTGTGTTCACCACGTCTCGCTGACAGATCCGAAGGGCCAGCACTGAAGCGCAAAATATATGATTCTTTAATGTTATTGGGAAGGAACTCCCTACATGGGTGTGACAGCATTCCTTTCTCTCTGTGCTAGCTGTTTGCCAAGGACATCGTACCAGTAGGTGACTTCCTTTGTATTTAAACATTTGGAACAAGTCAGTGATATTGTGTGATTTGCTATCCTTGCATTAAGCAGGTAGTCAGCAGTGATATTATGTGCTTCAGGTATAAAAAAAAAAAGGCTAGGAACTAAATGTACTTTGTAGAATCTTTGACATGAAATATATATAGGAGGAAACAAGTGATGTGAGGAGATAACTGACAAAGTAAGTGAAATGGATTACATACTGGAGTTGGCACCTTGTTAAGCTTGACATTATTAATAATTAAAAGTTATGACCTGTCGTCCACTGGACAGCCTACAGTAATTGGTTTCTAGAGATGGTATACTGAATGAGAGGAGGAGAAAATTAGCAGCATTTCCTCCTAAAGCATGTTTTAATTAGATGTGACATCTTAAATGTAGCAGATTTTATCATTTAAATGTAAGTAAAGTGCCGACACTCACCTGGGAAGTTAAGCTACTAAATCATCACGCCCAGAGAGGTCTGATGAGGCAGTGTAAGTATCGAGTATTTGAAAGCCAACTATGTCAGAGCAAAGTCAAAGTTAGCCTCTGAGTAGATGGAGTCCTATTGCTCAGGCTCTTCTACACCGTAATTCCTGCACAGTGAGAAGCTGTTTCTAAGGAAGAACGAACTGTGAGAGTTAGGATGCATCCGAATGGCAGTAGTATTCTTATTACGTGTCTGTTTAGAACATTAGGACTGCAAGGAAATCTATTTTTATGTGATTGGAAGCTAGCATGGCACATGGGGTGTGTATATACTGTGTGTGTGTGTGTGTGTGTGTATGTTTATGTGTTTTTCCTGCTAAATTTATTTGAGGCAGCTGTTTTATAGCTTTCAGCTCTGAAGTTATAGATAAGTGTGCATTTGTTTGACAGAAGATTCGAGAACCCCATTTACTGCCAGTACATGTAAAGCTTGGCTAAGCAGACGCATCAGGAGCAAACCGTTTGTGTTCGCCAATCTGTCTCAGCAAGTCCCAGGGCCACTATCTTGCTAGAAGCCACTGTGTGCTTTTGAAAGCATGAAATTAGTTTTATACTGAGCACATGGTTTCTCATTTAGCAGCTCTTTTTATGGTAATGGTCAATTTATGGTTCACCGCCAGGATTTTGGTATTCCGTCAAAGCTGATAGCTTCTGCTAAGGTGTCTCTATGAGATAATTTTTTTAAAACACAGAGATGGGGCGGGGCGGGGGGGGAGGGCAGGCACCTAATAGACCCTCAAGGAGAGATCTTTACCTTCAAACTAGTCTACTTCCTGAATGCATTATCATTTCTCCAAATTTCCTTTATGTTGTTTTAATCCAGGACCTACAGATTTAAAGTTGCTAACATTTCCCTCTTTGGAGCTTACTTGACATGTGAAAATAAAATAGCTATATTCTGAAATGTAAAGTGTTTGTTCAACTTTTTTCAAAGTGTTTGTAGAAAACCACTCTATTAGTGTTGACCATATTGTGCAATCCACCTTTAGGCTTACCTGCTTTTTTCTTAACACTGTTGGAAAGAATGCAAGGCTTTTTTATATGTATTATAATTGATAAAAACTACACATACTTTATTGTGTATATGTGCTATGAGGAGGGTTAGTTACAAATAAAATTAAACAGTCTCAAGATACATTAAAAATGTTGAAAAATGTCTCCTTTTATAAAACCTCTCAAATGTTAACATTATATAAATATTAAAATAGTGTTTGTTTTCACAGTGATAGTAGATGAAATGTACTTTTATATGTTATAAGAATGATTTTCTTAGTCTTGTTCTTTCCATCAGAAAATAAACTTTGTTGAAAGTTTTATTGGTCATAATGCATTTTGAAATAGAGGTATTGAAAATTAATTGCCAATGACATTTAGTGAATTATTTATTCTTGTGTTTATTCTTTGCATGCTTGTATATATATTTATATATGGATTAGGGTACTTGGAATAGTGTTTTTATACTTTTTCTTTCATATGGCCTTGATAATGGAACTGTAAACACTTCTGAAATATTGGATTTTGTGATTTTTTTTTGTTAACCCTTGGATCTTTGCCTATGTTAATGATTATACCTGATTAAGGATTCAAGATAAAATGTTTTTTATTGAAATACAGGGATATAATATGTGACATTGTAATGAAATATTTTCTGCTTTTAGATGAAGCATAATTTTAAACAACTTGCTTGTCTTCTGTTCTTTTGGGAATGTCATGTCACAAGTCATCATTAGCTTGCTTGTCAGGGGGATTTTGTTTTAGCTTTTGACTTATAAATAAGTATCTCATATTTCTCACTTTCCCAAAGCCCATAAAATAAATTTGGTTTGTGGGTTGAGATTTAGAAGGTTAAAAGGTCATCGAGATTTTCTCTTCAAATTTCCTGAGGATGTAATGTGTTTAGAAAATAAAACCTTTAAAGAAGTTTTAGAATGTCAGAATTCTCTTAGAATAGTGAAATGTATCATAGTACATAGATCATGGAAAATTTACTAAAGGAAGTGAGGGATAATTTATCATATCTGCCTGAATTCTTAGCACTAATTTCTCTTTCACAAAAAATAGGATTTAGAAAGTTATGGTGAGGATATAAGATACTCATGCAGCTCAGTGATTTACCTGCATCTATTCACTTGTAAATCAAGAGATAACAATCTGGAGTTTGCTTTAGCAAATTAAAAAATGACTAGTTATGAAATATAGCAGATGTAGTAAACTCGCTTTAGTTGAGAAACATGATTAAAATTAAAGTACTCTTCAATTTCATTGAGCTTTCCCAATGTATATGACTCTTCAAGTTCATTGAGCTTTGCCAATGTATATGTTCAGTAATTAGTCTGTACTATTTATATAGTTTGTATTTCATTTTAGAATATTGTATTTTTTTAGTTGATTTCAGAGAGGAAGGGAGAGGGAGAGAGAGATAAAAACATCAATGATGAGAAAGAATCATCGATCGGCTGCCCCCTGTGTGCCCCATACTGGGGATTGAGCCCTCAACCCAGGCATGTGCCCTGACAGGGAATGGAATTGTGACCTTCTGGTTCATAGGTCGATGCATAACCACTGAGCAACCCTGGCCAGGCTATATGTCATTTTGAGGTATGTTGCTGTAGTGACAAATAATTTTAGTATAAGTATATCCCATGCAATATTTGGTACATACTTTTACTAAAAATTATTCATTGTTTAGCTAAAATTCAAATTTGACTGGGTATACTATACTCAGTATGGGAACCCTACCTACTTTCAAACTAAGGTGAGTTTCCAATAATTAGCTAGATAATTGGGTCTACCTAAACCAAAATGGAGGCTTCGAATTCCTGTCCAAGCAGTCAGTTTCTACTGGTAGAGTTTATGCCTGAAACTCCTATGATAAGAAAGTTTCCATTTGAGAAACTTAAAAGCAGAAATTACTAGTAAGGACCGGAAAGCCTCCTGTAAATACTTACTAGATAAACCAATAAAGGCATGCATTAAATAATGTCAGTAACATTTTAAATAAATAATATTGAGAATTATACAATCAATTTCCAGTTGTTATCCCTTGCCAACTAGAAAATTTTCAGGATTGTCCTTCCTCAACAAGTGTGAGATGCAAATAAATTGATTTTATTTTGTTCTAGTTAAGATGCCAAAGGAGAGATCCCTTCCTCAATGACCCTTCATCCCTCCATCTGGGCTTTATTCAAATGTCCATTGTCCTTTTGATTTTAGGACTCTTTCAACTGCCACTTCCTATGTTTCTTAGAGAAGCAGAGAGACTTGCAAACTGGACTTAGAGGAAAATCTATGAGATACATTTAATTATTCATACACCATGGCTGAGTAAAATAGAATAGATGTAATATTTACTGTGTACCTACTATGTGCCTCATAGGATATCAAAATATTTATAGCCAGTTTTTTAATTGATTTTTTAGCAATGTATTAATATAGCAATTTAATACCCATTGTGCAGATGCTAAACTATTTATCAAAAACACTGTTTGCAGCCCCGAGTTACTCCAATTTTAATGTCACCAGATCAGAGCACAACATTCTATCCTGACTCTGAATGTCACTCTAACACATCTGGCAACCTCCCCACAGGAGAATAAGGAATAAAGGCTCATTCATCTTCTGCATCTCACCCAAGGCTGTATTGTAAAACCCTCTTTGCTCACTCAGCTTTCTGCGCTATTTTTCTTCTCTCTTCTCACTTCCTAATAGCTCCCTCTTCTCCACTATTTTTGTAAACATTCCCACCAGGAATGACTAGACATCACTGTAAAATTTGTTTCTCAAAAGGAGGAAAAAAATAGATAGAAGTCAAATTACATATACTGTAACAGAATTTAGGTTGGGCTGTCTTGCAGTTGATTGGTGAATAATGTAGGGGAGATGTTTGTAGTAAATTCTTTCAACTAACTTTTTTTGTACCCAGCCTAAAATGCCACCTTAGTTCTCTCTCCATCAGTTATATGATATGTCAAACCAGGAAGACTATTTTGAGTCAAATTGATCTGTTGAATGTGAGAGCAGTTAATCCAAGCTTTGGAAATGGATTAACTCTACCAGCCCAATACAGCCAGCCCAATACAGAAATGTTCAGTTACCCATATCTTCTTTTCAATTAAATGCCACCCCCATTGATCTAGGTCACTTCTCAATGTCTGTTGTCCCATAGGACAAATTCTAATTTACTTCCATTTTTTATGTCTAGTAACAGTATACCGCTATTTTAATATGATGATTTTGGATCTCAGAAGATATTGT